GGGAAGGTAGGGGAGGGTGGGGGTAAGGGGGAGAGATCAACCAAAGGACTTGTATGCATGCATATAAGCATAAGCAATGGACGCAGACAACAGGGGGTGAGGGTGAGGGCAAGACTGGGGGGATGAGGGGACAATGGGGGGATAAAGACACATTTGTAATACCTTAATCAATAAAAAATTTTTTAAAAATGTAAATCAAATAAATAAAAATTTAAAAAAGGATTTTTAAAAAATAAAATAAAAGTCCATTATTCATTAATCTGCCTTCTTAGAGAAATCTAGCCCCTCACCATCATCAATATTCCTTGTCTGGCACGAAAAGTGAGTTTTACTGAACTTCCTGTCTTCTCAATCTTTGTTTCTTAGTAGTCTAATTATTTAAAACATTTCCCATCAACTTTTTCTTTCATCACTTTCAAGAATTTCTATGATATACACCACAACCTTTGATCCTTCAATTTTCTCTTGAGTTACCATGCTTCAAATTCTGTCTTGAAAAGTTCTCATAAGGACATGTCTCTATAGCTCCCCAATTTAGAAATTTTAAATAGGATCATTTTGCAAAAAAACAACAGCAAAGTTTCAAAGTAGATTTTAGAAGGCTTTAATGCTAAAAAGCTTTTGTTTTAGAAAACCCCAGATATATATTATAATGGTTAATTTTATGTGTCAAGTTGGCTAGGTCATGGTACCCAGATATTTGCTCAAACATTATTCTATACTAGAGGCCCGATGCACAAAATCTGTGCAAGAGTAGGCCTTCCCTTGCCCAGCTGCTGGCACCAGCTTCCCTTTGGCACCTGGGACCCGGACTTCCCTTGCAGCCCTGGCTTCATCTAGAACAGTGGTTCTCAACCTTCTGGCCCTTTAAATACAGTTCCTCATGTTGTGACCCAACCATAAAATTATTTTCGTTGCTACTTCATAACTGTAATGTTGCTACTGTTATGAATCGTAATGTAAATATCTGATATGCAGGATGGTCTTAGGCCAGTGGTCGGCAAACTGCAGCTTGCAAGCCACATGCGGCTCTTTGGCCCCTTCAGTGTGGCTCTTCCACAAAATATCACGTGTGGGTGCGCAAGTACAGTGCAATTGAAACTCCATGGCCCATGCCCAGAAGTCGGTATTTTGTGGAAGAGCCACACTCAAGGGGCCAAAGAGCCGCATGTGGCTCGCGAGCTGCAGTTTGCCAACCACTGTCTTAGGCGACCCCTGTGAAAGGGTTGTTCGACCACCAAAGGGGTCGCGACCCACAGGTTGAGAACCGCTGGTCTAGAAGATTGTCTGGAACTAGTCTGATCTAATTAGCATATTATGCTTTTATTATTATAGCTGATTCTGTGAAGGTACTTTTTAGATAAGATTAACATTTAAATCAGTAGACACTGAGTAAAGTAAATTACCCTCTATAATGTGGGTGGGCCTCATCCAATGAGTTGAATGCTATAATAGAAAAAGATTGACCTCCTCAGAAGAAGAAATTCTACCAGCAGACTGTCTTTGGAATTGAACTGCAACATCAGCTCTTCCCTGTGTCTCCAGACTGCTGGCCTACCGTGCAGATATTGAACTTGACAGCCACCATAATCCATGAGCCAATTCCTTAAAATAAATCTCTCTATATATTTATATACATCTTACTGATTCTGTTTCTCTGGAGAAATCTGATTAATACACATATGATAAACTTTTTATTAACTAAGGTCATTACCATAGACTTTGAAGTCAGAAACATTTGGGTTTTGAATTCAGTCTTTTGACTTTGGGCCTCTGTTTCCTAATGTGCTAAAATGGGTATAATAATCTGAACCTCTCAGAGCTATTGTGCTGATGAAAGGAAGTCATGTATACAACACTTAGAACAAACCAATTGTTTAATAAGTCTTGGTTATTATTATTGTCATTGATGTTACTACCTCTTACAGTGAAAATTCTCTTCCTTAACTTGTTACATGGAAACAACTGTAGGTACTGTCACTTTTTAAAAAAAAATATTTCATTGGTTTTCTACAGAGAGGAAGGGAGAGGGATAGAGAGTCAGAAACATCAATGAGAGAGAAACATCGATCAGCTGCCTCCTGCACACCCCCCACTGGGGACGTGCCTGCAACCAAGGCACATGCCCCCGACCGGAATCAAACCTGGGACCCCTCAGTGCGCAGTCTGTCGCTCCATCCACTGAGCCAAACCGGCCAGGGCGGTACTGTCACTTTTTAAAAAATATTTTTATTGATTTTAGAGAAGAACAGAGAGGGAGAAACATCAATGATGAGAGAGAATCATCGATAGGCTGCCTCCTGCACACCCCGACTGGTGATCAAGCCTATAACCCCAGCATGTGCTCTGACCAGTAATTGAACCGTGACCTCCTGGTTCATAGGTTGATGCTCAACCACTGAACCATGCTGGCTGGGCTAGTACTGTCACTTTTATCCTTCCTCTTTATGACTCCTTGAAATGTGTTATGATCACACAACATCCATCTTGAGTTGCATATTTAAAAAATTTTTCTTGCAGCATGGAAATTAATAGTTACTACTTACTTGAGCCTTTGTAATTTGAAATTTGGATATTTTAAGCCTTCACAGAGCAATTTCAAAGCTGAAGCATAAAATCCAGGTCAATGAGTGACCGTCTGGTGCTGAGAACAACTGCTAGCGCTCTACAATAAGATGGAGAAATAAGGCAT